AAGAGCACCTCCCGGCACCAAAACAGCAAGGCACAGAAGGACGAACAGGCCCTAGAATCGCACCGAAAAAGTGCCTAACATCCCTTCTGAAATCCTAGAACTGCTGCTGCTGCTAACAGAAGAGTAGCAAGAGCACCTCCCGGCACCAAAACAGCAAGGCACGGAAGGACGAACAGGCCCTAGAATCGCACCGAAAAACTGCCTAACGTCCCTTCTGAATTCTTAGAAAAAATGTTGCAGAACAGAAGAGTAGCAAGAGCAGCTCCCGGCACCAAAACAGCAAGGCACGGAAGGACGAACAGGCCCTAGAATCGCACCGAAAAACTGCCTAACGTCCCTTCTGAATTCCTAGAAAAAATGTCTTTTTTCCAACCTCATCAGCTAGCTCACCTGCTGCTGCTGCTGCTGTTGCTGCTGCTAACAGAAGAGTCGCAAGAGCAGCTCCCGGCACCAAAACAGCAAGGCACGGAAGGACGAACAGGCCCTAGAATCGCACCGAAAAACTGCCTAACGTCCCTTCTGAATTCCTAGAAAAAATGTCTTTTTTCCAACCTTTTCCGCTTTTTGAATCTCCTATCAGCTAGCTCACCTGCTGCTGTTGCTGCTGCTAACAGAAGAGTCGCAAGAGCAGCTCCCGGCACCAAAACAGCAAGGCACGGAAGGACGAACAGGCCCTAGAATCGCACCGAAAAACTGCCTAACGTCCCTTCTGAATTCCTAGAAAAAATGTCCTTTTTTCCAACCTTTTCCGCTTTTTGAATCTCCCATCAGCTAGCTCACCTGCTGCTGCTGCTGCTGCTGTTGCTGCTGCTAACAGAAGAGTCGCAAGAGCAGCTCCCGGCACCAAAACAGCAAGGCACGAAAGGACGAACAGGCCCTAGAATCGCACCGAAAAACTGCCTAACGTCCCTTCTGAATTCCTAGAAAAAATGTCTTTTTTCCAACCTTTTCCGCTTTTTCAATCTCCCATCAGCTAGCTCACCTGCTGTTGCTGCTGCTGCTGTTGCTGCTGCTAACAGAAGAGTCGCAAGAGCAGCTCCCGGCACCAAAACAGCAAGGCACGGAAGGACGAACAGGCCCTAGAATCGCACCGAAAACTGCCTAACGTCCCTTCTGAATTCCTAGAAAAAATGTCTTTTTTCCAACCTTTTCCGCTTTTTCAATCTCCCATCAGCTAGCTCACCTGCTGCAATGGTGGCGTCACTTCGTCGATAGCGTTTGGGAATATCAACCACCGTCACATTTGTGGGAAGCAGTTCCGCGTCGAGAACGGAGTCCTGCGTCCAACCATGCGCTATGTCCACGCGTGCCCAACGTGCGGAACTTGTGTCCAAACCACCAAACAATCAGGGAGAATTCGCAGCAAGCACAAAAATCCAAACGGCCGCACGTGCCCCCAAGCAGAGTGGCAAGTTAAATGAAGCGTTTCAAGGTAACAAAAAGATGTCTACTTGTACATATTCGTGTTGTTTTTCTTCCTCTTCTTCTTGCTGTTGCTGTTGCTGTTGCTGCTGCTGCTGCTGCTGCTGGTGCTGTTGCTGTTGCTGTTGCTGTTGCTGTTGCTATTGCTGTTGTTGTTGTTGTTGTTGCTGTTGTTGTTGTGGTCGTCGTCGTCGTCGTCGTCGCTGCTGCTAACAGAGTAGTAGTAGTAGTAGTAGTAGTAGGAGTAGGAGTAGGAGTAGGAGTAGGAGTAGCAGGAGCAGGAGCAGTAGCAGTAGCAGTAGCAGTAGCAGTAGCAGTAGCAGTAGTAGTAGTAGTAGTGCTAGTAGGAGTAGTAGTAGTAGTAGTATTGAAAAAGTGCTTAATGTAACTTCTGAAACCAATCGAAAAGAATGATTTTAGCAATTTTTTCCTCCTCCTGCTGCTGCTGCTTCTGCTCCTGCTGCTCCTTCTGTTGTCGTCGTCGTCGTCGCTGCTGCTGTCGCTGCTGCTAACAGAGTAGTAGTAGTAGTAGGAGTAGTAGGAGTAGGAGTAGGAGTAGCAGGAGCAGGAGCAGTAGCAGTAGCAGTAGCAGTAGTAGTAGTAGTAGTAGTGCTAGTAGGAGTAGTAGTAGTAGTAGTATTCAAAAAGTGCTTAATGTAACTTCTGAAACCAATCGAAAAGAATGATTTTAGCAATTTTTTCCTCCTCCTGCTGCTGCTGCTTCTGCTCCTGCTGCTCCTTCTGTTCAAATGGCAGCTCCCGGATGGGAAAACACCATGGCAGTGAAGGACGGAAAGGCAGCCAAATTGCACCCAAAAAATGCCTAATGTAACTTCTGAAACCCAAAGAAAAGGATGATTTTAGCTACCTTTTCCCTCCTCCTGCTGCTGCTCCTGCTCCTGCTGCTCCTTCTGTTCAAATGGCAGCTCCCGGATGGGAAAACACCATGGCAGGGAAGGACGGAAAGGCAGCAAAATTGCGCCCAAAAAGTGTTTAATGTAACTTCTGAAACCAATCGAAAAGAATGATTTTAGCAATTTTTTCCTCCTCCTGCTGCTGCTGCTTCTGCTCCTGCTGCTCCTTCTGTTCAAATGGCAGCTCCCGGATGGGAAAACACCATGGCAGTGAAGGACGGAAAGGCATCAGAATTGCGCCCAAAAAGTGCCTAATGTAACTTCTGAAACCCATAGAAAAAGATGATTTTAGCTGCCTTTTCCTCCTGCTGCTGCTCCCGCTCTCCTTCTGTTCAAATGGCAGCTCCCGGATGGGAAAACACCATGGCAGGGAAGGACGGAAAGGCAGCAAAATTGCGCCCAAAAAGTGCTTAATGTAACTTCTGAAACCAATCGAAAAGAATGATTTTAGCAATTTTTTCCTCCTGCTGCTGCTGCTTCTGCTCCTGCTGCTCCTTCTGTTCAAATGGCAGCTCCCGGATGGGAAAACACCATGGCAGTGAAGGACGGAAAGTCAGCAAAATTGCGACCAAAAAAGTGCCTAATGTAACTTCTGAAACCAATAGAAAAGGATGATTTTAGCTACCTTTTCCCTCCTGCTGCTGCTGCTCCTGCTCCTGCTGCTCCCTCTGTTCTAATGCTAGCTCCCGGATGGGAAAACACCATGGCAGCGAGGGGCGGTAAGGCATCAAAATTGCGCCCAAAAAATGCCTAATGTAACTTCTGAAACCCAAAGAAAAGGATGATTTTAGCTACCTTTTCCCTCCTCCTGCTGCTGCTGGCGCTGGTGTTGGTGGTGGTGGTGCTGCTGCTGCTATTGCTGAAAGAAGAGTACCAAAAGCACCTCCCGGTGTGGCAAAGCTACCAAATCCACACTGTTCACAGGAAAAGTCCAAACACAGGGGCACTGCGGCCGTCAATTTCAAATGGCAAATGGGACAATGTCTTATCACAGGAAAAGTCCAAACACAGGGGCATTGCGGCCGTCAATTTCGAATGGCAAATGGGACAATGTCTTATTCCCTGGCGCGCTCCCCCTTGCGTCTGCCGGGGTCGGCGGATTTTATTTCCGATGGCAGAATTTCCTAGAGGTGTTGTGAAATCATCTCTAATTTTGATGCTCAAGGATTCAATTTATCTAAAAATTATAAATGTTACTTCTTTCTCCATATGGATATGTTTCAAGATGAGGTGTCCGTTTTTGGTTCCAAAATAGGTACTTTAAGGGGAAATACGGATACCTCAGTTTAAGACATTCCCATATGTGTACTTTTTTCAATGTTTGAAACCTAGCTGGCCTACTTTCTTTTTGAATCTATATATATATATATACATTTTGAGACCTGTACATGTTTCTTTTCCAGTACCTCTTTTTCCCTTACGCGCTCCCCCTTGCGTCGGCCGGGTTTTGAGACCTGTACATGTTTCTTTTCCAGTACCTTTTTTTCCCTTACGCGCTCCCCCTTGCGTCGGCCGGGGTCGGCGGATATATATATGGCAAGCATATCATCTCAACTGACGAACTCATATTTTTCAGAGGGGTAGAAACTAACCACCAACCAGGTAGTTTAATCCTACAGCTTTCTTTGCTGAAATGGAAAATGTTTCATAAAATAACCATGAACAGCAAAGGATACAAGGTGGTGCCCCAGTTCGTTCGCTAAGTTGGTGAACATAACTCCCATTTCACTATGGTTTATGGCAGATATAACGAACTAGTTAATGGGGTTTATAAACCAACAAACATCACTGGGGGGCACCATCCAGTATTTTTTGTGGACTACCAGAGATTGACCATGAAATTAATTAGTTGGATTGAATTATGATTGAATTGAATAGAACTCAAATTGGGGGATGGTCATCAATCCCTTGGGGAACTGCATTCCCACTCACTATGGGATGGATGACATGATGCCACCATTGATCCCGTGTAACTTGACCCTGAAACCATTGAGGACTTCCCGTTGAACTGTTCTTACTGGCGCTAAACGGAGGGTTGCTGGGAATGGGAATTGATAGTTATTGTGGAATATTGTGGATCAGCAACCCGAAATTTCCCTACGTTTAGCACAAGTAAGTTGTTCAAAATGACCGACTTTAGATCAGCTTCAGACTTTGTTTGGCTGCATGGTCACATATTGTGTGCGTGCATGTGTGCTGAACCTGAATATATTGGAAGCCTCTCAAATTGTGCCCGCTTTCTGAAAGAGATTGGTGTTTTTTTGTCAAATTGTGGTACCCCCAAACCCATCAATTTACTCATTGAAGACAGGGTTGCTCTAACCCATTATAGCTGAATCACAGCCGCAAGGGGAAATGGGTCGCTGACTACCTCTTTATTTGCACAGTCTTTTCCTGTGGAGCAAAGTAAGATGACCAACAGTTTTCAATCGATGGTTTGGTGTCGGCTCTGTAGGGGATGGGGCCCCAGTTCGTTTGCAGTTGGTTTATAACATTCTATAACCATAGTGTATCATACTTATAGAATGTTATCAACCAATATGGTTGTAAAATGTTATAAATGTTTTTTAAATGTTAACTTGTGAAATAACAGTTTATATTTCGGTGGGGTTATCAACCAACAAAAATCTGCCTGCGGAGCACCATCCTGTCGCAGCAGTTCAGGTGTCAAATCGCGCAGCAACAGCACGATGCTCTGCAGCGCCAGCTCCAGCAAACCATCGACAGGCAATGTTTTTTTTGGTGATGTTTTAAAGTGGTTTTTATAGGAATGTCATAGGGATTTCATAGGGATTTTATTCAGATGTTATTGGAGATTTGGTGATTTTTAGAGGGGTTACCCTCTGGTAAACATGAAATCAACGAACTAAATGGTATATTTTCAATAGCAAACTGCTAGTTTACCAGAGGGTAATGGGATTTTAGGGTAATTAATGCTGACGAATGCTGATTCATGATGACTAATGGATTTGCTGATTTGTTTTTCTATTTTCCCAATGGGAAATTCACAATTTGGTGAACTCTACGGAATATGTTTTCATGTTGGGTGGGACCCTTGAAGCAAATCCCAGATAACAAACGTCATATGGTGTTTGATTGGCCAGTCACATTGCTATAGTTTATGTGGTTACCCAATGTAAAAACTGTGGAATTATGTGCAATTCCGGGATGGCATCGGATAGTTTTGGAGTTCTGGAATCATTATAGCCAAACCAGAAAGTATTTGACATGTTTTACCTATATATTTACTAGAGTTTATGAGGGATATAACTAACTATAGTCTATAGTTAATGGTTTTATAAACCAACTATACTGCTAGAATTACAATGTGATAACCAATGTGATAACCATCCCAGATTTGAGGTAACAAAGATGATGACGGTCCAATCATAGGGAAATTCATGGGATATTGATGGTGCATTGTTGCTGCATTGGTGCATGTGGCAAACCTGCCATAAACCATCCCCGAGATGTTTGAAAAAAATATTGGCCATGCAATACCCCTAGGGGCCCGAGGTAAAATGAACCCCAAGCTTTCAAGGCTCTGGGCTTCCTATGGCCTCGGAAAAATTCCCTGATCTCAATGATCTCCTGGGCTGAACTGCTATAAAGTGATCATGGAGCAGGAAAATGATCGAATGTTGGTGAGATGATGCAGCCAATGAAGGTCCTGAGAGAATAGTTCTAGCTCCCTGTTTCATAGCTGTAGCTCGAGGTTCACTTGGTGAACCAACCATGGTCATCATAAAAACTGTACGTCATCCCAACGAAGGAAACGGTGTTTTTTTTCCAACGGCTCATCCAATTTCATAGTTCCAATTGTACCGGAGCTTGGGGACCGTTGGATATATTGAATTCTCTGAAGAAGTGACGAGTTGTGCTGGTGAAATCACACTTTTTGGTTATCTCTTGTCGCCATACCATCTTGCTAGGTTCAGTTTCGGTTTGTTTTGATGTCACCCAACAGAAACTGATTGATGCGCGCAACTCTATCTTGCACTTCCTCATTTGTTCAATTGACAACAAACATGTTTCGTTGTAGTATCTGCAATATTGTGTCTCCATATCTGCGGGTGATATCATTTTACATACCCTTTTGTGTGTAGCCACATGTATATCGATTGAAGCCCCAGCTCAAGAGTTTAGGCACATCCATCCGAGCCATAGCCTTGTTGTAGTTGGTTATTGTAGAATATCATGCTATCTGCTTTATTGGGGATGGTTCTACCCAATATATGCCATAACAGGGATACCTAATGGCTATGTTCATATTTTCACCATCCCTTCAATTACCAGGAGTTGGGACTTGGGTAAGGCCGATTCTTTGGGTTTGCTGTTAGTTTCGGGGATGGTACTTTGTCAATACATGTTGATACGAGGTTGTGCCCCCAATTAAATCAGTTGGTTTATAAATACCATAACCCTAGTTCAACTACTGTAGTGAACTAAACCGTATACTGAGCGAACTCTAGGGCACCATCTGGAAAATCTGTTTTTTTCCCTCGGCCCGAGATTTCCAGGTATCGCCGTGTGGTGCAGTTGCACGGTGCCATGACTTCTCACGCGGGCGCGGGTGAGAGCGCGGTTCGCAGCGAGTGCGTGATGGACGAAGAGGTGCCGACACATTGGATGATTTGAGTATTGAAAGCCATGGTAAAATGATGTAAAATGGGGTGTAGGAAATTTCACTTGGGATATATTTTGAAGATATTTTATGAAAATATATGGAAAAAACAAAAATAAATGGAGATTTATGGTGGACGTGTGGAGGTTTCCAAAGTCAGGGGGTACCTCCAAATCATCCAGTCGTCATGGTTTTGGGGATCCCGCATTTCAAGGAAACCTCCATAGCAGAGCATTTATAGGAGGCCATGGTTGATTACTGGAGGGTGTTTGGATGTGATTCCAGACCTGTTCCCCCTGTGCCGTTCCTTAATTGTTGGTTGGTTGATAGGGATTCCGACCTGATGGATTGTGATTAATATGGTTTTTATCTCCACGATCTCACGCAACCGGGGGTTTGAACATTGCTCACTTGATTCAACCATCACTGGTGGTTTGGAACATGACTTTTATGACTTTCCATTCAGTTGGGAATGTCATCATCCCAACTGACTTTCACTCCATCATTTTTTCAGAGGGGTAGGTATACCACCAACCAGATCAAGAATGGTGGAATATGTCCATTTGCCCATGAATCAATGAAGTGAACCACCTATGAATCATGGGTATTAACCTAGGCGTGGTGCATCCCAGGAATACGTGGGTAAGAAGCAGATAGAATACCTCAGTTAGACTAAAAGAGTTATATACCCATAGGATCCATGTATGCTATATATGGTAACATTTACCATCAATATACCCCAGTCATGTTAGCATATATATATATATACCATACATGGTTCCTATGGGATATATATATATATGGCTTACGTATGGCTTATAATTAGCTTTAAACTTTAAACCACTTGCTATGTGCTGAATCCTGCAGTTTCACCTGCTTTTCAGTTGATGAAAAAGGCTTTGCCTGAAAGGTTTGGCACCCCATAGGCTCAATCCAAAGGATAACTTGGGGTGCCAATGGTACTTGGTGGCTCATCCCACGAATCGTAAGTGGCTTATAACCCCAGTAATTTACATGGGATAAGGAGCGGGTTAATCCACTTATAGTTGGGGTGAACTAACCCACTTACGATTCGTGGGATGAGCCACCAAGTAGCAACCAAACACGAAACTTCCGAGTGAAGGGTTGTTTCGTTCGTCTTTTTTGGGTGTTCAACCAATGTGCGATGATAATCCCCAATGACAATCATATGTGTCAGGTTTTCAGACACCAGTCACCAGTCCAGGTTAAACAACTTGTTATATGAGTAACCGACAAAACTAGCTGAAGACCAAAGTAGTGGGGAGTGAATAGTGAATATGTTTAAATTTGTGCGAAAACATTCACAACCGATAGGGGACCACTCACTTACCGATACCCTATTTTTGCGATTTTTGTACATAGCATGGAAGTACAAACCTTCACAACCGATAGGGGACCACCCACTTTGGGCATGTCGATTGCAGGTAGTAAGTGATTTTGTCCGCCACTCATATGGCCCATTGTATCCCCAATAGTTTCCATGAATATAACAAGTTGTTTAACAAAAATCATGACTATTGGCATAGTGTAGCCTATTGGTTCACACTTTCATTGAATCACCATTACACCATCATTACCTCCAGAGGAGGGTTGAAAGTGTGAGCCGGTTGTGTAAGCTTGGCCTCCTCAATGTCCTTGAGCTTTCCGGCAGGTTTCAGTGAATGTTTTGGCCACCAAAGATACATTCTGATAATTTAACATAGCCATGCAAAATGGCCCATTTATAAATTATTCGTGATGAGTTGCCTTTCTTAAAGATGGTGATTTTCCATAGCTACGTTAAGTCACCGGAGGGTATCACAATGTTTTTTTTTTTGATTTAGTGGTAATGGGGTTTACTCATGCCCATATGCACCATGTATAGTATATTTACCTACATTTGGGTCATTTATGGGGTAAATGTTGGTAAATATTCCATACATGAAGCATATGGGATGTGTATGGAGTAATTGTGTATATTCAAGATAAGGAAACATGCCGACGGCATTAGAATCAGCAATTTGGCGAGTTGATAGAGTTCCAAGTGACGAGCTTCACCCAGTCCCGGCTATGGAGTTGATAATGTGGGTAAAACAATGCCATAAACCATCTTCCAAATCACCATTTTTATAGGTGGTATGGTTACCATTCCCAAATGTGTGGTTTATAACATTGTTTTATCCACATTAGAGAGAATGCAGCGACACCAGTTGGTGTCTGTTTCATTTGAGAGGGGAGACTTCAAGGGCTGGGTCATGTTTCCAAAAACGAGGGGGATGCAACAGCCAGACACAAGGAGTGAACCAAAATGGGTTGTTGAAAAGTTGAATTTCTGGTCACGGCAAAACTTTGGATGTGTAAAGCGGGGCACATCACCAGCAGACATCCATCAGCCATTTCTGGGCTGGCAGCCAGGAAGAAAACATTTAGGGAAAGTTCTTCGAACCAAAACTACAATGCCATGGAGTGCTCTTGGGTTTGTTTCCCGGGGCCCTAAGGCCCTAAGTCATGTTTCAATTTTGCTGCTTCAGTGTTCAAATTTCTTGATGCTGTTGAGCAGGCTCCGTTGAGCAGTGTTCCAAGCCCGGGTTGTTACTGGAACATTATATTTGGGGATGATCATCTACGAACTGCGATTTCTTAATGAACTACCCTCTGGTTATGTCAAAATAGCTATTGAAAATTTCCATTTATAGTGGATTTACCCAGCTAAAACATGGTGATTTTCCAGTTCGTTATGTAAACGTTTACCAGAGGGTAATATTAATTGGAATGACACTGCGGGTTTGGACACCCTGTCAGCTCAGCAGATTGCGCTATTCAGGTGCTGCAGAAGTACCGGGAAAGGATTGAGCTATTGGCGACTTGCTTTGCATAGACTTTCGTATCAGGGGTTGGGGCTCAACCCTCCATTGCACCATCGGTTTTTCTGAACGAACACTTGGAAAAATGTTGGGAAAAGATGTGAGATTTTTCAGGGTTTCAGGAGACATGTTGGGAGCTATGCCAAGATTATAGATTCTAGATAATATAGATACCTGGTGCTTGAAACACACCAAGATGAGTCTCCCTCAAACCGAAAGGTTTTCCTCAGGTGAAACATGGGCTCCCATGTTTAGAATGGCGAGGCATTGCTGCTTTAAGATACCCTCTGGTTATTTAACATAGCCATGGTATAGATGGCCCATTTGTATATGCTTTACCTATTAAAAATGGTGATTTTCCATGGCTATGTTAGTCATAACCAGAGGGTACCACCATATCCTGTAGAACTGGCAAAAAACCTCGGTGTGCTGTCGAAATGGTAGACCCATCCCATACCAAATCCTGCCTCGGAATGGTAGATGTTAAATAACTGGGCACATACTGGAAACAACTATTAGAAGGGGATTCACTATTATAATGGGATATAACTTTTAGATACTATTAGAATGTTAATATCTTGTTGGTGCTTTGGAACATGACTGGATTATGACTTTCCATTCAGTTGGGAATGTCATCCCACCTGACGAACTCAACTTTCACTTACTCCATAATTTTTCAGAGGGGTTTTGGTCAACCACCAACCAGATAAGCATGGAGAAGTTTTTTCACAACCTCACGTCGCGACCACCCTCAAATGATGATTAAAAAATGTTGCGGGAAATCATCCCACTATAGCCTTGAGAGTGAATCAGAGAGGAATTTACCCTCTGGTAATGACTAACAGCTTGCGAACTTGAAAATGGCCATAGAAATAGTTGATTTACCCATTGAAAATGGTGATTTTCCATAGCTATATTAGTTTACCAGAGGGTATCCAGATGCTACAGGACCACTTTGATAAACGAAATATCCCGCTGATATAGAGTCATGATCATATTTATGATTTGGGTTATGTTGGCCACTTACGAGTCGTGGGTGTCTCCATCCAAGTATGGATCAATATCAATATCCACCATAACACAACAGGTAGCCTAGTTAAGGACAAACGAAGTTAGCAAGCGCTTGGGGGGACCCGCAAAGAAATCCTGTATCCCAATTACTAAGTGGATAATAACCAAATAACCTATGTCGACATACATTTCATACATGACAATATCCCAGCTATAAGTATATTTGCAAACCGTATTGACTAGTTCGATACATCTACTTACAGTTAATTTACCTATAGCGAACTAAACCAACTTAGCTATCTAAATCCCACGGAATCCTATTACAACCGCGTAAAATATCACATCAAAATCATCATTTTGCTAACTGGCTTGTTTTTTTAGATGGGAAAACTGGCTATTCAATATTCCCCTGGTTGGTGGTTTCAAACATGGCTTTTATTTTCCATTTCATATATGGGATGTCATCCTTCCCATTGACTTTCATATTTTTCAGAGGGGTAGGTCAACCACCAACCAGATATATATATATATATCCAATATATAACCAGCATGTTAAACCACTGTCATGCTATACATACCACGATTATATGCATATACAGTATTTACCATGTAATAAGCATTATTATTTACCATGCAATAACCATATAACAACCACCAACCAGGATACTATTAACCATCATTAACCATATCATAACCATCATCATTAACCATATATTGACCATCATCATTTACCATGTAATAACCATATATATTTACCACTGGTAAACGTTTACATAACTATGGAAAATCACCATTTTGCATGGGAAAACTCACGATTTCTATGGAAAATCACCATGTTTCATGGAAAACTCGCGATTTCTATGGCCATTTCCCCGAGGAAAAGATGCTGTCCACGTTATGCAGCGAAGCCACCGTGTCCTTACCTCGGCTGACACCCATGGAACGAGCCAAGGCGGCCTCGCACAAAGTGGCATAAAGGGCTGGGATTTTTCGGTGGCCATGGGGCCCTTAAAAATAGGCCCAGTTACGAGGAACAAGTGGTGGATATAGAACTGCTTGGTGGTGACTGGAACATTTAAACTATTTAAACCATCAACGTTGTAGGGATTTAATTAATGGGTTTTGCTGGGACAAAAAGTATATCTTAATATGGACTTATATAATAGATATAGAGAACTGGTTGGTGGCGACTGGAACCATGGAATTTTCCTGGTTAATCTACGGTTAATCTATGGTCAATAATGGTTATTTTTTTTGGAATAACAAGAAATATCTGGTTGGTGGTGACTGGAACCATGGAATTTGATGTTCCCCAATAGTTGGGACGATGATCCAATCTGACTTTCACTCCATCATTTTTCAGAGGGGTTGGTTGAAACCACCAACCAGAGAATTGGTTTTATATAGTGGCTTAGATATACATATATATATATATAATAAATATGGATTATAATGATTTCATTTGCCAATAAATGATAATGATTATCAAAATTTGGCCACTAAATAGAATTTCTAGTGGACTATAAATAGAATATTAATTGGTGTTATAGAATCTAGTTGGCCAATTTATAAGTAGGTTTTACTATCATATATAGAATTTACACTTGATATAGTTGGTTTATATTGATTCATGATAGAGGTAAACTTATAACTGACTAGGGTAATTCACTGTGGTTTATGGTATATCGAACTAGTTTAAACTCAACCAACAGAAATGGAGGGTTCACCACCAACCATCGATGTGAGATGTATCGGACACTACCATTCAACCATCACATAGATGTCCTTTTCCCATTGGTTGGTTGATGAATAGAGGGGTTTGGAGAAACCCCTTCAACAACAGGTTTGTTTGATGATGGGATTAACCAGCTCCCGGCCCAAACCTATTTTTACCAAAAGCACATGATTGAACCATCAATCATGCGGATTTACCACCAAGAATGTGTGTATATGAGGTGAGGCTTGGTTTGTCTGATGGAGACACTGCCACTGAATGTGGCATGTTCATAGTGGACATGATGAATCATGGAATTTGGCACGTCCATATTTTGAGACCCCAAATATGGGGGATCACCTAGAAAGTGGTAATCATAGGTACACTATGATCATTGTCCAAATGACAATGGATTGAAATAATGAATCCATTTTTCCAGTTTAGAAATGATTGTATTTATCCAGTTGGATGGGTGGGACACATCCAAATCAGAAGCTCATTTGGGGTAGAAGATGGTAATTCCAATTGAAAGCATTCCTCAAAAAATTGCCAGAAAACAGCCTCCCCAAAAAATTGCAGAAATCAGCTACATCATCCCGAATCAGATAAAAATTGTTGGGTCTGCCACTTTGGGCAACGAGACGTCTTGAGACTTCGCCCATCAAAGTTGCCTAAGTCAGAAGGAGCTTTCCAAAGTCAGAGAGCCTAACATGGGGGTACCCCCAAATCATCCAAGTCATTACTTGGTGGCGAACTACCCATGGCTCGTAAGTGGGTTTTAACCCCAGTGATTTACGTGGGATAAGGAGCGGGTTAATCCACTTATAATTGGGGTGAACTAACCCACTTACGATTCGTGGGATGAGCCACCAAGTACAGTATTGAAACCATTTGAAACCTATGGTGACTGGTGGATCCCGAGTTTTAATTCAAACACAATCTTCATGCGCATCGGAGATGGAGTCGGATGCAGGCAACGATGCCAACTGACGAACTCCATCATTTTTCAGAGGGGTTGGTTGAAACCACCAACCAGTTAACCATCATTAACCATATATTAACCATATAATAACCATCATCATCAACCATCATCATCAACCATATATATTAACAGTGTATTAACCATATGTTAACCATATGAATTCACCACCAACCAGAAAAAATTCGTTGTGTTTTTTCTGCTTCATCCCCATCGTTTTTGTCGTTTTTGCACCGGATCGGCGCCGCAGGGCTTTGCATTCTCATCCTATGCAAACACCGCAGTGGCAGCCAACAAGCTCAAGGACTGGATGGTGCGGGTCACCCGAAATATGCAGAGATCCATTGAGATCCATTTGGAGGACCTAAGTGGTTTTTTCAGCGTCCCCAATCCGTTGATATATCTGGGTAAATTATGGTGAATCTATGGTGAATCTATGGTGAATCTATGGTTAATAATGGTTATATATATATAATAATGGTGAATCTATGGATAATATATGATATATCTGGGTAAATTTCATCACGACCTCACTGTTTTCCCGAACCCTGGAATCATGGTGAATGTATAGGGGAATCATCCCAAAATGGCCGAACTATTCAGGTTAGTCAATTATTATAATTTACCATGATAACTGTATAACCTCACTTTTGGGACAATGTCATTTGGGCTACTAGAAATTACTAAGTCGGAAGATCCTCGAAGTAGGAGCTTTCCCATCAAAATATGTGATGACCAGAAACTATGATTGATGAATGTTGATGACCAAAACTGGCTATTCCAACAAAACGTGTTGTTTGCTATGGATGGAGATACATTAAAATCTGGTTGGTAGTGTGGAACATGACTTCTATTTTTCCATTCAGTTGGGAATGTCATCATCCCAACTGACGAACTCCATCATTTTTCCGAGGGGTAGGTATACCACCAACCAGAGAATGATCAGCTATGTTTTCTTGTGGTTAGTGTCCAAGATTGACCGTCAAGGTGAACATGGACCTCTGACCATTTTTTTCAAGGACCCCAAGAGTTGGAGATGTAAAAAAGTCAAGTCGCACGTTCGACGCACGTCGCGATGTCTCAAAACAATCAACGAGACGTTTGATTGTTGATTGTGTAGGTCGTGTTGCTTAATATGGCATAATATGGCTATGGATCAATACGTATAGACAGCATGTTTAGGGGATGAACATCCACAACTCGCAACACAAATTGATGTCAGGGCAGAATAAATGATGAACATATCTAGCAAAATATAGAACGTACATAATGAACTATCTTTATGTTGTATACTACTAAGAACATTAATATACTAAATTACCAATGATTGTTTTGTTTGTTCAGATGTAACATTTTTTTGCCAAACGATATGACAATAATAATATACAAATATTCCAATCCACCACAAAACCAAACCTTCGGACGACTGTCCGTCCAAGTGTTAAAACAGAAAACCAACCAAAGGGATGAGCTTCATCATACGGTGGATGGGCCAGCGAAATCCTGCACCACCAATTTGGGATGGTTGGTGGAAAGCCTTTTTTAATAGTGGGATGTTTACCATCTATCAACTGGTGCAGGATTTCGCTGGCCCATCCACAGTATCAGTTATCATTTTTGTGTGGATTACCAAAGATTGACCACATGAATAATCCATGATGACAAAATCAATGGATTTGGGGGTACGATAGTTTCAGACAGACCCAAATAACAAACCATTTGCAGCTGTAAGTGGCAAATGTGAATGACAACGAGATCTTTTAGATGACTCACTTATCAATGGATTGGTTTAAGGGAAATTTTTAACCGGAAAGCCCCATATTTTTCATGGGAAAATAACTCTGCTTTCCGGTTTCGATTTTCCCAAAAAAATCAATCCATTGAACTTAAATATGTCCATCCCACGTGAAGATCATGAATTAGAGGCCCATTCCTGGGAAGGAATTCAGGATCTCCAACAGATACCCTCTGGTAAACGTTTACATAGCTATTGAAAATGGCCATTTATAGTGGATTTACCCAGCTATAAAATGGTGATTTTCCAGTTCGTTATGTAAACGTTTACCAGAGGGTAGAGATGAGGAAGTCCATGCTCAAATTCTGCCATTCGTGGTGTCTCCCAAAGGGCGAGGCACGTGAGCGAAACAATTTTGTAGCCAACAAACGGGTTTATGGATGTTTATGGTCAATTTGTCGAGTTGAGTCCCGAAACGGGTAAGTAGCTTAATAACTCATTTGCTGTGAGTTACTATCAATGGTGGTGGAAAACTACGTTTATGATGTAGTTTAGTGAATAAGTACACCGTCATTCCCTATTTATGTAACTACGTTTGCTATATTTTATAAACAAACAAACTAGGATTTATGCCTAAGATGCCTAAGTTGATGTTGGGTCAAATTATCATTTGCTATTTCTATAACTACGATTTATGGTGGATCTCTTTGCGTCGACCGCTGGGTGACGCGCAGGATGGCACTGCACCCGTGTTGGAGGCGCAACTCTGGAGATCACTAACTGGGACAACATGTGGTACCCTCTGGTAAAAAAAAAACATTTATAGTGGAAAATGATGGAAAATGGCCCAGTCGAAATAGTGGATTTACCCATGAAAAATTGTGCTTTTGTCCAGTTCGCAAAATGTCAACGTTTACCAGGCCGGGTACCTTTCATTCCCCACCTTGGATGACTAGCTTAATCCTCAAGTTCTTTTGCAAAGAGTTTTTGTGGAGAAAAGATTGGCCATGCCTTCAATGTAAGATAGTCATAGATATTTCATACTTGGTGGTTCATCCCACTTAGTAAGTGGGTTATAACCCCAATTATAAGTGGATTAACCCTACTTATCCCATTTATAACTGGGGTTATAACCCACTTACTAAGTGGGATGAGCCACCTAGTAGATATCCGATCTCCACCCCTTTTTCTTTCGTCGAATCCACCCCCTTTGTATCGCAGAATGCCCGCGGCGCGCTGGTCTCCTTTGCCTCCCGCCTGCGTCGCGGGTCCGGAGAAGGTGCCGGAGGTGCAGTTTCGGGCAGAAAAGCATGGTGGAAGTTGACATGAAACAGCTGGATTTTACCATATGATCCATATGGCTATGGGATAGTTGGGTATAAGTTATATAACTGGTTGGTGGTTTCAAACATGACTTTTATTTTTCATTATTTTTCCACATATTGGGAACAATCATCCCAACTGACTTTCATATTTTTCAGAGGGTTTGAAATCACCAATCAGATATGATCCATATGGCTATGAATCTAGACCTAACAAAAACACCATGATTTTGTGGGAACAACAGCCATTTACATAGCTATAAAAGCTATGTACATCCAGAAATATCATATATGTCATATATATTCCATCCAGAAAAAAACGGATGGTGCACCCCAGGCAGATGTTTGTTGGGGTTATGGGGGCCCATCGAAATATAACTATAAATATTTATAAATATTTTTTAAGTTATAAGTTATAATTATAAGATATTATAAGTATCATACACTTTTATTATAGCTATAAACCAAGTTAGCTAACGAACTTGGGCCCCATCCTGTATGGGGATGGGTCAAAACATATCAAACCCTATCAAATTACGAGATTTTGGGGAACAAACATCCATCAAGCAGCTGTTTTAGGATACCTAGGGTTCCAGGGTTTTGACTCATAACGATGTAACATATGGAGATTTCATAAGTCATGGAGGTAGCCCAGATCATCCAATTCATTAGATCAGTATTGAAAGCCATTGGGGATCCGCCATTTTCAGAAATCCACTTGCATTTTTACTGTATTTTCCTATACAATTACTCAAAGCTGACCTTACCCATTCCCAACAGCTGACCAATTTCGTTGCCAAAATTGATGAAAATCAAGAAAATGTGAAAAAGAAAGAGCAAGTAGGTTAATAACAACCACATAGCGCCCGAATGAGAGGGAATGAAACCAACGAACAGTGGCAGACACCCATGCTGCCACACCTGCTTTGTGGCATCCTGTGCAAGGGGACACGCACGCAGACATGTCACAAGAGCCATTTGTGTGGACAAGTGCATAAAAAATGCCGAACGTTAATAACAGGGCCAGCATTTTGAAAAACTCTGCGCCTTTGACCTGCACCCTGACACTTCACAAGAGCCATTTTTTTGTAAGAAATTACAAGGAATCGGCCGAACGCAGATGATACTATCACGAATGAACCACAGAACTTTACTGTTACCGTACGACCCCCTTCAGTGTCGCCACACTCTTCCATGAAAAACCGTTCTTCCAGTGCACCAGAGCACATATCAGGGAGCATATATCAAAACCAAAAAAATAGACCAAGCCATCACAGACTGAGCATCGAGATTGCCGGAAGAGGGTCGACAATGTGGGATGCTATTCAAGAGCGCGGAATGGCACTCGAGAGCGCAGGCTAGACCCTAGATCGCATAATGGACCCCGGAACGCAGGATGGATTCGAGAGCGCAGGATGGACCCGAGAACGGAGGATGGACCCGAGAGCGTAGGATGGGCTCGAGAGCGCAGGATGGACCCGAGAACGGAGGATGGACCCAAGAGCGTAGGATGGGCTCGAGAGCGCAGGATGGACCCGAGAGCGGAGGATGGACCCGAGAGCGCAGCATGGACCCGAGAGCGCGTAATGGATTCGAGAGGAGGGGATGGACTTCAATCAAACCGTGACCTTCGCTCTTTTCGGAGACCAAAAAAAAAGGATACGAAAAAAAGGACCGATACGATTGAGCCACCGGATCGTTCCAACTTTCCCAAAACCTGAGTTTTGAGCTATTTGACTCCGACCTCACCCATTCGCGTCCGGCAAGCACAATCGTTCCAAAAAACACAGCAAAACAAAAAAAAAAATGGCAGGCCACACACCGAGATCGCAAGAACCATGCCAGATCGCAGGATCAACGCGAGAGCGTAAGATGGACCCGAGAGCGATTGGTGGACCCAAGAGCGATTAGTGGACCCGAGAGCGATTAGTGGACCCGAGAGCCGAGAGCGATTAGTGGACACGAGCGCGATTAGTGGACCCGAGAGCGATTAGTGGACACGAGCGCGCAGGCTGAACTCCAGAGCGCAGGATGGACCCCAGAGAGCAGGATGGACCCAAGAGACTAATGGATTCTAGACCGCAGTAAGAACCAGACCGCAGGATAGACTCAAGACCTCTAGCTGCTGCATTCCAGACAGTGAGTAGAAGTATCTCTCCGCCCTTTTGCAAAGAAACGCCCAGGATCTTTAGTATGCATTGAATCAGTTTCCAAATTCTGCAACAGCGATCTGCACGAAATTCCACAGTTGACTTAGCAAGCACCTGACTCCTAGCAAGCATACTCCTAGCAGGTCTCACTCCAGCTTGGATCCCAAAAAACACGTCTGCTTAACGGTCTTCACATCAGCCGAAGCCAGATATTGGCTCACCGTGCCCGTCTTCCGAGACATCATGTGCACAAACCTGCAACCGTCCATATGGCTAATGATTTCTCGGGGGAGTCCACAGACATCGAGGCCGCAAAGAGGTACATGGTTCTCAGCAGTGAAAAAACGGCGACGAACTTCTAAGTATTGCGGAGCTTGTAAGCTAGCGTTCCCGCATCAATGTAAGCAAGTCAGACAAGATAATCAACCCAGCAAAATGACATTACAGAAATTACTTCCAAAAGAAAGCTCCAGCACGATACTTGAGCTGAGTGCGTGTGTTGGCCCAGAGTGGGCGACATGGGTTTCGAATTACCATTTGGTTATGACTAACATAGCCATGGAAACATCCACCATTTTTAAGTTCATAAGTTCGGTAAACCATCTATTTCTATGGGCCATCTATACCATGGCTATGTTTGTCATAACCAGAGGGTAAGAGCTATTACTATACAATATATGGGTGAATTGTAACGATCTGGGGTAAACTATGGTGGAAGACCCATGGTTTCCCTGGTAAAATTATCTACAAATGGTGGGTTTTCCACATCAATGTTAGTTTGCAGCAGGGTAATTACCATTTATTGAATTACAACCAATCAGATATTAGTTGGTTTATTCATCCTAAAGCCACTTGTGAAACTAGCAAACTACACCAACATAGCTAACCATTTGTCCGCATTATAACAACCACTTTTTCGGTGGTCGAAGCACCAAGCAGGGCAAAAAACGCTCCCCATCAGCCCAGTCACACAGTCGGTCCCGGCCCGGTCTTAAGCCGCAGGCTATGCGGGCGACACGCCGGCAGCATGATGAAATCTCTTGGCAAAAGCATGTGCTATTTGGGGCTTTCCATAAATGGAGGTACAACTATACTCCCAGCTCGCTGGATGGTTTATTTCAGAATAAAATTACATAATATATATATATACACCTACATTCACATATATCAAACATGGTACATATTATTTATGGAAAATCCGAAACAAAAATGGATGACTGGGGTAGCCCTATTTTAGGAAACCTCCATTTCTGGATGGGAGTATGCTAAGGGAAAGATAGGTAATGTCCAACTGTCTGGACTGTCTGGATGATAATGTTATAACCAATTATTGTATTATAATGTGTTTATGATTAGTATAACACAATGGGTCATTATATATCATTATTGGGTAATTATGATTGTTATATCATTGTTGGGTAATGCTATGATATGTATGATATGATATATTCAGATACATCCATCCTGGTGGTTAAATGTGGTTAATACGAATGATAAATGTCCGCATTTTTATGGGTGCTTTTGACATCGCCAACCAACTGGATGGCTAGTTTCATCCTGAAATGTTTGGTTTGCTATGGAAAATAACCATAAACAGCAAAAGGTTACCCTCCAGTAAAGTAACATAGACCCTGGCAGTTGTCGGGGCTGAAAGATCAGCTTCCACTAAAAATTGCTTATTTTCAGGGTCTATGTTAGTTTACCAGAGGGTAATTGTTTGTTTGTGGACTACCAATGATTGACCATGATTCTGGCAACGCAACAGTTCGCTATGGACATGTTCGCCGTTTTGGGGGCAGGTTTACTTGGTGGTTCATCCAAGTTAGTAAATAGGTTATAACCTTCCCAGATCCATGAAGCAACAAGGAGAGTTATGTGTTGGAGTGATGCTAGTAGGCACCAGCCTTTCTATTTTCAATTTGTTCTGGGTGACCTATATAATTAATTATCATCGACTTCACGTCACGACGTGACTGGAATCATTGTTAGGGTGAACTATCCCAAAATGTCTGAACTGTTCAGGTGAGCAAAGATTATAAGTAATCCAGACATATGTAAACGTAGCTTTAGCTTTGCCATTCAGCATAGCTTATCTCTAATTATCGATGACATATCCACCAAAAACCCTACCCTCTGGAAAACATACAAAAAAACTATGGGAAATCACCATGCTAATGGGTAAATCAACGATTTAACTATGGGCCATGGCTTCCAGTTCGCAAACTGCCAACGTTTACAGCGAGGGTAAATCCCGGTATAACCATCATTAACCATCATTAACCATCATTAACCATCATTAACCATCATTAATCATCATTAACCATCATTAACCATCATTAACCATCACTGACCATCATTAACCATCACTAACCATCATTAACCATCATTAACCATCATTAACCATCATTAACCATCATTAACCATCATTAATCATCATTAACCATCATTAACCATCATTAACTATCATTAACCATCATTAACCATCATTAACCATCACTAACCGTCACTAACCATCATTAACCATCACTAACCATCATTAACCATCATGAATCATTAACCATCATTAACATCATTAACCATCATTAACCATTGGTGGAGAACTTCGCTAACAGGGGCCCCCACCATTGTGGGAACATGGCGTTGGATGATCTCACCTGCAGCCATTTTTTCCCACCGCGAGAGAGTCGCCGTGCGGTTGCGGCGCAGAGCTATGCCCAGGTGGGGTTTCTGGTGGCCTAACTTCCATTGCATGCCTATCTTATTATTGGAAAATATGGGAAAATATAGGAAAATAAATCTAACTTTATGGGAAGAATATATGAAAATCCCCCATATATATTATATATATTATGTATACTTCACCTGAGCAGCGTGAGTCAGGAGCATACACACGCATCCATGCTGGCATTTTGACAGCTGAGAAGCGCGTCCAGAGCTTGGTGACTTTGGTGGTGGATGAGGGAGCAGGGGGTGAGGCTCAGATGGTCAAGGAGATTAAGGAATCACCTGCTGCAATGATCAAAGGCGACTGTGACTCACATCAGCATGTCGCTATTGTCTTGGATGCCAAGGTCTTGTGTGAGAGTGGATCGCAAGCCAAATGGCGCTTGCCCCCTACGAGGGCACCACAAGTGAAGAGACTGATCGGAGCCTTTTTGAGCAGCAGGGCTGATGGTGAGCTTGATGATGCTGATGTCATCGTCGCGCTTGACGGTGGCAAGAACGGTGATTGGGAGGAGAAGCACATTGTGAAACATCTCCCTGGGAAGAAGTACGCCGTCACCAAGCACATTGTCTTCTTCAACCACAGCTCCGTGGAGAAGAGGATGGAGAGGGCTTCTAAGGGGCCCCTTGCACTGTATACTTGTTCTGCTTTTCCATTCCTAGGTTAGCTTACCAGTTGGTTGGCTTTGGTTGGCACTTCTAAACTCCATAATATGCATTTCAGAAGAAGCCAAATAAAAGAGAGCAGCTAGGAGAAGAGAGTCAAGTTGTGTGTCGTTTTTCTTTAATGCCAAGATAAAGATTACAGTATTCAAGAAAGCTATGGCACTGTGGTTATTCGGTTGTTTGCCTCTTTCGAGTTCTGAGGAAGCATGGATTTTTCTGAAAATTGAGTACCCAAAATCATCCAAAATCCTCATGGTGAATCATTATGTGTCCAATTGTTCAACAGCATGATTCGGAGGTATACCCCACTTTCATGACCACACAAAGATGCAGATGCCTAAAAAGGACGGAATATCTAGATCCATATGAAGCATTTGGAGGTGTCCCAGGCATCATAAGCAGGAAGAACATGGAATCACCATATGGACCATATGAGTTGATAACCCAATGGATGATATGCCCAGTTTGATGAAAATGGCATACATACGTGTACATTAATGGTGTATAAACACGTGTGAAACACTTACTAACATACATACCACTCAATGTTATCTAAGTAATGGTACTGAGTTGCTTCTGGGTTGTATATCCCAGTTAATGACAACTCGACTGGACTGGGTGAATGTATATCTATCACAGTTAACTGCATCCTGATAAAGACTTACTAGAATAATTGCAGCATGACCTAGTCGACCATGGTCTTGCAATTGTTAACTTTCCATATTCTCTACCAGTTATTACCATATTACTGCATTATTATAATGAGTAGCCTCTAGTAAATTAATTGGTTGACCCTGAAAAAGTCGCAATTATCTAGTGGAAACTAATCTTGCAACTCCTATAGGATGGGGCCCCAGTTTGTTCGCTAAGTTGCTTGATCACTATGTTATAACAATAGTGTATGATACGCAAACAGTTATATCTAGATGGGGCCCCATAACCCCAACAAACATCTGCCTGGGGTGCACCATCCGTTTTTTTCTGGGTGGGATATATATGATATTTCTGGATGGTCATAGCTTTTATAGCTATGTAAATGGCTGTTGTTCCCCCAAAATCATGGTGTTTTTGTTAGGTCTAGATTCATAGCCAGATGGATCATATCTGATTGGTGGTTTGGAACATGGCTTTTATTTTTCCATTCAGTTGGGAATTTCATCATCCCAACTGACTACCCTCTGGTAAATTAACATAGACCCTGAAAATCACCATTTTTTAGAGGAAACTAATCTACTATCTACCAGGGTCTATGTTAATTTCCTGGAGGGTAATATTTTTCAGAGGGGTTGAAATCACCAACCAGACATGGTGAAATCCAACTTTTTCATGGAAACTTCCAGGGTCCCATGTGCAGGCGACGTGGCGCCGCGGGGCTGTGCGTTTTGGTCTTGGCGGTCGCTTGGCCGTTGCTTAACATCTTCTTTTTGTACGACGAAAACGGGGACATCCATGGGAATATCATTGCTTAATAGGACAAAATGGTGCTAATAACTATCTACATACATCAAACATTGGATAAAATGGAACCATGGTTAATTGAACCATAGTTAATGAAACATTGGATAAAATGGTGCTAATAACTATCTACATAACCATCAACATAATGATGGTTTCATTATGGTTAATTGTTGACCTTGGACAGAAAATCCAACTCCAAGGGATGAATCATGGATCATTGGAGGAAGGGATTAGCCTCTGGTTATTTGTCACATGGCTATGGAAGCCATGCATGGCCCATAGAAATGATGATAAACATGGCTGGTTGGTGGTTTGGAACATTAATTTTATTTTTCCATTCAGTTGGGAATAATAACCCCAACTGACTTTCATATTTTTCATAGGGGTAGGTCAACCACCAACCAGATAACCATGATGATAAACACGGTTCTTAGCAATGGTGATTTTCCACTTCGCAAAGTTAGCGCGAAATTACCAGAGGGTAAGATTTAGTGAGGACTGAACGGGGACTGTCATTGGTCTCTTGTGAGGATTGTATGGGGTTTTCGATAACCTGAAGGATCACCCAAAAAATGGTGAGTTGCCGACCATACACCTGTTGTAAACTTTCATCCGGCCCGGTATTTCTCGGTTTGACGGAACATGTCCGGGTTGTTCAGCAAAATTTAATGGATTGCTATAAATATGGTCTACATTAAAAAAAAAACAAGTTTTGATTGCTATAAACCACATTTTCCCTAGTCTTTGATTGCCATCAAAAATGGTCTCTTCCCTATGGGAGGAGTCCAGAGTCCAGGTAGAGGTGCATCCCAGTGGGTGACCCATACATCAATGCGGTAAGACTAACCGGGTTATCATTGCATATGTTGATATGATGTATATATATGTATATATGATGTAAATATCTTAAGATGAATTATAAAATATGATCTTAAAAGATAGATTTTTCGTGGGTTAATTAATCTCATAACAACAATTCACGCATATATGATAACATTTATAATTATTTTTGCGTTATGATATATTATTTATAAAATATATGTTTCGCATTAACGCGGAAATCATATATCTCGACGAAACCAAAAAAAGAGTTCGTGTGAAATGGTTCTCCCAAATCCTGGAGAAATTGGTTGTATTCTAATTGTCACTGGATTGGTTAAAGGAGGTATCTTAACAGGAAACCATGGTTTTACAGGAAACC